GCCTGCTCCAGGAAACAACGCGCTGAAGGGATCCCAGAGAGGGAGGAGGTCAACCACAGAGCGCCCTCTGTGCGCTCCTAAGCCACTTGCTCCGAGCTGCTCGTGCACGTGTCTGCCCCTGAGCAGTGAGCTGCGGTGCAGACCGCCGTCCAGGTCTCAGGCTGGCCGTGAGCGGTCTGCAAGGGGGGCGAAGGCGGTATCACAGCAGAGGCGTTGAAAATGGAACTGCGGTTGAAGCACAACCCACAGGAGGCTGTCTAGAACATGCAGCCCGAACAAAACATCGCCATTCTCCATAGAATTTAAACAAGACAGAGTCTGTAATATGATATCCAGCGTGTTGAGAAGGCAAGGCAAACTTACTCAGCTAATGAAAAAGTAGGAAAATTTCGGTTTGCAGGGGAAAGACCATCACCAGATACTAACACTGATGTTAATACAGATGCTGGAATTATTTGATAAAGACTTTAAAGCAACTATTATAAAAATGCGCCAACAAGTGAGGATGAAGATTTTTGAAACAAATGGAAAGATAATCTCAGCAAATAAATAGAAAATATCAACAAGAAACGGAAACTCTAATGACCAAAATAAGCTCACTGGGTGGGCTCTAGTGGCACAGTGGAGATGACAGAGGAAAGAGTTAGTGAGCTTGAGGATACATAGAAACTATCTACTCTGAATAACAGAAAAAAGATTGAATGGAGCCTCAGGGTCCGGTAAGACAATACCAAAATGCTTAATATTCGTATCATTGAAGTCCCCCCAAAAAGAGACAGTGGAGTGTAGAAAAAATATTTGAAGAAATAAGGGCTGAAAAATTCCCAACTTCAGCAAAAGACATAAACCTATCTATGAATCTATGAAGCTCATCGATCTCCAGTTTGAGAATCTCAGAGAAATCCCTGCCCAGAAACTTTGTAATCAGACTGCTTAAAGCGAAAGACAAGGAAAGAAACCTCGAAAGCAACCAGAGAACGATGCTTAGCGTGCAGGACAACAGTGATTTGGGTAACTCTGGATTTCTCATCAGGAACTATGGAAGTTAGAAGGAAGTAGAACAGTTTTTCAAAAAGTACTCAGAAAAGAACTGTCAACCCTGAATCCATGGTCAACAAAAATAGCCTTCAAGAATTAAAGTGAAATAGTTTCTCATATGAATGAACGCTAAGAAAATTCATTGACAGGTTGCTAAAAGAATTACTAAAGGAAGTTCTTCAGATAGAATTAGACCAGAAGGGAACTTGGAACATTCAGAATGAAGGAAATGCAACAGAAATGGTAAATATTTACATGTAAATGCAATAGACTGTTCTTTTGAATTATTTAAAATATCTTCAAAGGTTGAAAAGAAAACTAATACTTTAGGTTTGCTGAGCTGAACAGGATTTGAACATAGGTGGTCTGCCTTCAGAGACCATGTTCTTAACTACTGTAGTATACTGACATTAGTAAAATAAAATATAAATAAAGCTTTTATTGAAGTATTAAACCAGGTGTTTACCTGTTCTCAGCCACTTCCTCTTCTTTCTTTCCCATCTCTCCTACATTGTTACACTAGGTAATAATTCTTGAGCACTTAGCCAAGTACTGTGCCTTCACTTAATTCTCACAGTGCTACTGTGAGGTAGGTATTAAAATTATTCCCATTTTTAAGGTAGGAAATTTGAAGCACACTACAGTTAATTGACTAGGCTGAGATTACCCAGCTGGTCAGTGCCAGCATCTGAATTCTTATGAATAATCTAACCTTCTTCTCCTGTTTTATTCAAGACTGACGTTTACTTAAAACTCATTCTTAGATACTGATGTAAGTGAAATCACAGAAAAAGAAGTGGAAAATCTGCCATCAGCCACAGAATGGATGACTGGCATCACTGCCTGACTGGTTAGAAATTTAGCCCATGTCTGTGGGGGTGGATATAGCTCAGGGGCAGAGTGCGTGCTTGGCATGCGCAGTGTTCTGAGTTCAATCCCCAGTACCTCCATTTAAAAAAAAAGGAGATTTAGCCCCCATAACGAGGAACAGGTTGCTTGTCATGTGCTCACCTTATATGATCTCTCCTGATACTTCCCAGCAGATTATTAAAAAACAGCCTCCCAAGTGTGTTCTCTCCTGATCCAAGTATATTTTTATTTCATGAGAGAAGAATATCGCTAGGCATTTTTTTCTTTCACTTTTTAGGCGTATCTCTTAACATCTCAAGAACACTAAGATTTCTTAGAATACATTGTGGAGATTGAAGTCACGTTCTTCAGGTCAGCGTCCTTCCTTGAACCTTGGCCTCGCAGCCTCAGAGCTCTTTAACTTCTCCACGTGGAAAAGTGAGCTAGCTCCTAATGTAGATAATTTAGTGCTGATGATACTGTTTTGAATGCAGTCAACATTTTTACGTACGAGGATGTCTTCTCACACCGTGAAATTGTAAGTGCTTCAGGAGCAGAGAGTATACCTCATATTTTTTCTTCTTCCTAATATGTACAATATAATTATATAGGCAGAAAAGTTACACAGTGACTAACCACCTGACCTGGATCATTTAGACCTCCCCGTGCAATTACTTACAATATTTGTTTTCTCCCAAAGTGTGAGCAGCGTAACCCTTTACCTGGGAGCCAGCTAAGTCAGGGCATGAACACTGAGCAAGGTTGTGTTTGTCTCATTTCAGGATTCAGTGACTTTCACGGATATAGCCATAGACTTCTCCCACGATGAGTGGGAGTGGCTGAATCTTGCTCAGAGGACTTTGTACAAGAAGGTGATGATAGAGAACTATGGGAGCCTGGTTTCACTGGGTAAGAGTGTATTCGTCCTTCCACCTCCCCAGCGAGTCTTTGCACCTTCGTGGTCTTTCGTGTCTTTATCAGCACTTCCCTACGATGGTTCTCGCCTCTCAGTACCA